CCACCTTTGAAGATGTCAACGTTCTCCTGAATCGCTTCCTGGATTCCACCATCAAACCATGGGTGCAAGAAGCAATGACCGCTCTTGCACAGGAATTTAGGACCACCCAAGCGGTTCAGCATGAACATCCCACGCCCCAACCTACGCCCGAACCCTTCATCTCTCATACCCAACCAATATCTTCCACAGCCCTCTCTCACCACTCCATCAACCAAATACCCATCCCTTCACCTTCTCGGGGCACCCATGATACAGAACCAGTATTACCCCCACGCCCGACCACACCTTCCATCGATCTCCCCTCGCTACCCTTCGATACCTTGGCATCGGCTTTGCTGGACCATCTCCTCAACATCCCAGAAGCCAACCTCACTCCCTACCAGCTAGCCATCCTCGATGCCCTCCTCTCTTCCCCTGAAACCAAGAGCAAGTGCCATGACAGTCCTCGTGGTCGCAAACGTTCCCATGAGGACCCCGACGATTCAGATCCTCATGAGGGGGAGAACAAGCGGCCACGAACACTCGAGCAAACTGCTTTAGCCAGCCACACTCCACAGCCCGTTCAACCAGAAACCTCTACCAACCAACAGCCACCCGTAACCAAACTTTCTAGCCTAGTCGAGCTAGATGAAACATCCTGAGGCATATCTCCTAAAGATACCAACCGAGGAGGGGATGGAAGTCCTGTATGCTACTACTGGTACATCTTATAAGTCAGGCAATCAGTTAGAACCTCGTTCGAAGCTGATGACAACGGGAAATCCTAGTGACCCGGTGTACCAGTTAACAGGTCTCCGTCACTACAAGATCAACCAGCTACTACCATTCTGTCATCAGATGAAATGCACGATCAACTTGAGGATATCATCATTCACGACAAATGGCCCAGACAGTGGACGGAGATGGATCAAATCATGCAGGATGAAGAATGTGAAGATATGCAAAGGAACTGGTTCTTACGAGAACTCATAAACAAATGTGCAGAGGACATAATCAGGCTCGAGGATGATGAACGAAAGGAAGGGGAAAACTACAAGGAAACTCAGAAAGAACTTGAATCTGTTGTCAGACAAACGGCGGGACGACTTCCCAAGACAGAGAAACCTTGGGAAAATGTACGCATCAAAGCCCCCTTCCAAGAGGAAATCAGAGAGTGTATATGGCGTAAACCAGAGAAAGTCAGACCTCTGAATGAACTAAAGCTGCATGGACTCACCCATCTCAAAGGAAAGCAGGCAGGAGGTCATCTTCATATGCTGATGCAACGGTCAACCGGGACTCAACGAGAGCTGATGGAACAGGATCTGAAATCCAACATTCTCCCAATTCATCAAATCCTACAGGTCAAGGCTGAGGATTATCATGGAGTGAGATTCTACTCTTGCAAACTTCAACGCACCGATGGGAGTGAATTCACATGCCAGGAAAACGATTTCATCATGCTCAAACCAGACGACATCTATCAAATGTTTATGGCATACAGATACCTTCCAGTCAGACAAAGCAGAACATACAGCGAAGGCCTCACAGCAATCAAGAGGTTCATGCTCAGACAAGTCAGAGTTCACTCATCTCACGACCTACAGATGGCTATCGAGTGCAACATGACAAAAACAAATCTAACAAAGCCAAGACTGTTTGGTCCAGAGCTCGAGGACTTCCCTGCATACCACATCTTCTTCACACTGCCAGCAGTCACATATCTCAACCACAAGAATGAAAAACGCTCGATGATGGTTAGCGAAGTTGAGAAATACTGTGATGGAACGCTGAAGATCATCAGAGAACAGCTGCTGAAGATGAAGGAACAGCTAGAGCAAAAACTTGAAGAGGCATCGTCTTACATTCAAAAGGAACATTCAACACTGGAAATCATTCTAAAAGCCATCGACGATCGCCTGGACAAGAGAAACATGCTGAGACAATATGAGCACGCGCTAAATATGAGAAAGCACTACTTCAAAGCTCAGAAGCAATAACAAGGTGGCACTTGATCACTAAGGGGGAGATTGTTGAAGATCATTTAATTGTGAATCAAGTTTGTCACCTATCTTGTAATAGATTAGCTTTATATTATCCGTGTACTCAATATTTGTATTTATTAGGTTAAAGAATATGGGACCAAGTGTCAGGCCCATATCAGGCTGAAAGCCTTTTCCGCCAACTCTATACCTGCGCATATAAAAAGGCGCTTCAGATTTAGGGTTGCGTTAACTTTCGTACTCATTCCAAATAGCCTTAGCGCAAATCCTTCTCTGTACGAGTTCACGGTATATCAAGGAAGGTTTACATCGATCTATCTGTGTTCATCTTTACTGTTAATCTTCTACTTGTTATACTGTTATTCTTTGCTGTAATAGAAAACAGGGACTAACAGAGGAACAAGTTGTTCCTTGAACCACTATAAAAATCCCTGGTGTCACCTTACTTACTGCTTTAATACTTGCACTTTAGTTTAACTGCTTAACTCCTAGGACTTGGTCTCTGTGTTCAGCAGAAGTTGTCTCGTGAGTTAACAGAAGGCCTAGGGCCTTTGCTTCTCTGAGAGGCTAAACCGGACAGAACCTCTACCAGAATACCTTCGCTACCAGTCTGTTCTGTCAACAAAATAAGCTATTCTGTAAACCTTGGGACTTAGCATGAAAAAGTTAAAATCCATAAAAGTCTATTCACCCCCCTCTAGATTGTTACCTCTTAAACCGGGACCAACGGAATCATTCTTTAAATCATAACATTAAATTAAGTTAGTCATTATATATGATAAGCAATGCATACTAACGGAGATGCTTGAATGTGAGATGTTTGACCAATGCATGAGACCCAAATATCGAGGTACGATAATTTTTTTATTGAAATTGAGCGACAATAACTTAGTATATCAAATTCATAACAATATAATAAAAAAAGGCATACAATTCAATCCCCTACAAGAAAATTGTCTTTTTGTGACGAACAATTTTCAACCAACGTTAAATTTACTCGAATTATAACGAAGATATGCGTTTTATGAGTCATATATATTGTCGTACCACATGCATGCGATCACTAGGGCAAATACACATAAAATTTGAACAAATTAAGGAGTCCATTATCAACGTCCATAATTACTTGAATCCAAATTCCCTCTGTCCCATAAAATAAGTCCCACTTTCCTTTTTAGGCCGTCCCACAAAATTGTTCCCATTTCCCTTTTTGGAAAGTTTTGTGTGGGTAACATTCATTTACTTTTTTCTTACTCAACCACAACCATACATTTCCACTTTATTCCACTTTCTTAAACTCCGATCCAAATTAAAGTGAGACTTATTTTATGAGATGGAGGTAGTACAATTCTAGAAAATTATTCAAATTTTTAATTACGTATTTACAATTTATAGATTCAATTGATTATGAAAAAGTAGCCCGGATTTACAAAATTTAAGTGGATAAAAATGTAGATAAAAGAATAAAATAGAAAAGTAAAAAATTAGTTTCTTCAATTTAAAAAAAACATATGTTTTTAGTCTAAAAAGAATTATTTCTCTTATAAAATAAAACTCATTGAGTAACAAATTTTAATTAAAAATATACTAGGGTGAGCACATCGGTTTCAATTCGATTTTAATATCAATTTGATTTTAAACAAATTGGAATCATACTATGTTTTAGTTTAGTTCGGATTAATTCAATTTGTTTCGGTTTAAATTTGTTATGTTTAAAAACATATTAAGAATTTATTGACTATTTGAGTTCAATTCGACCTTATTCGATTTCTCACGGTCTCAATTTGTTTTAGTTTGATTTAATTCGATTTGAAAGACATACCACTAAATTCAAACGAAATTGCGTATGATTTGATTTCGGTTCAATTTGGTAAAATTTGGTTTACTCAAACCGAACCGATTTGCTGACCCCCTAAAAAACACTCATGAAAACTCATTCTCTCAAAAGTGGCAGCCATGGAAGTCAAGTGAAGTAGTACTTACTAAATTTTATTTATTAAAAATAAATTTATTATTAACAAGGATCACTTAATTTTATGATCTGTCAAATATCGTAAACTCAGCTGAAACCGTTACCCGAGTCAGAGGTAGTATACAATATTCATTCAATCTCTTTTTTATTTGAGTAATATGAGTTGATTTTTTCCGTGCAACGCGCAAGTTCATTGTCTAGTATATATATATATATATATATATATATATATATATATATATATATGTAGGGGTGTGTTCTAATACAAATGGGTCTTCTCATGAAAAGTGAGAAGTGATCCAAGTCCTTCATCACTTAAAATGGATGGAATACATCAAAACTCACGTTAAATAAAAATGTGCAATACATAATAGTAAAAGCGCATATTACAATAAAGCAATATTAATTATATACTGCAATATACATGATTCTATACATCATTAATATGCAATTGTTTCTGGTAAAAAGTTGGACTTTTAAAATTGATTAGTGATTTAAAACAAAAAACTTTTGGAGTCCTATATGATTTCACTATAGAGTTAATAGACTCAGGTGGCTTCATGATAGCCACCGATTTAATTAATGATTTAATAATTTGTGATCCATGTTATAAAAATAAGTGACTATATTATTAGAACATCTCAAATACTACAATATGCACAATATATATGTGACATGAGAGAGACACAAACGACTAAATTTTTGACATTTGTTCCTCCTCTTTTCACGGTCTTATGCGTTTTGGTAAGTTTTTCTCAACAACGTCAACTACAATGTCTACAACTAGACATTGTGTCTGACACTGTGGAAAAAAACTTAACAAAATCATACAAGATCGTTCAAATGAGAAGAAATATATTCTATTTATTGTTTTTTAATTGACTATATTTCATATCACGTAGGCACTGTTTACGTTTTTGCATTGAAGATGTTGTTAAAGCACTTGAACCATATTAGTATAATAAATTCTAGAGTCATACATGGCTGGCTGCCCGGCTATATAATTACTCTACGATAAAGACCATATTTCAATTTTAATTGTGAAATATGACTGTTATTTCGTACACGAGCATTTTTTGAATGGTAAAAGAAAAGTCAACAAAAACAGCTTCCTCTCCCTCTGTTATCTCAGCATGTTTTTCATTTTCTCATCAGCAATCAACTCATCAATATCAATAGCGCAGATAAAAGATTCAGAATCTGTTCTTCTAGTCTAGTCTAGGAGATAATAATAAGTATATACACCCATTTGCTCCAAAGAATTCGATGAAGAAAGGAGCTTTAGCCCCAACGCTTAAGCTCTCTCTTCCTCCTCCTGATGAAGATGCTCTTTCCAAATTCCTGTACTTCCCTCTCGCTTTTCTTTTTCTTCTTTATAATATTGATGTGTCTATAAATGGTTTTGCGTATATATACTGTATATAAATCAGCTAATGTATATACTGTGTAGGACTCAATCAGGAACATTCAAGGATGGAGATCTGCTGGTGAACAAAGATGGACTTCGAATAGTTTCTGAGAATCAAGTTGAAACTGTATGGTTTTTCACCCTTTTATGCAATATTCGGTTTCATTTTTCCCTATTTCAGTTGGGGGTTCCGGCAGGGGTAAGAATTAGTTAATAAGAACTGCCTTTGGGCGTTTGGTTTATTGAATATAAATATCATTAAGACTTGTGGTTCCTTATAATAGACCAATATTGAGATATGTGTGCTCCTTTTGAATCTTAGTCAGATTGATCACTTGTTTGAGCTTAATTGGTTTTGTGTTAAACTCATGGTTTCATCTTAAAAAGTTAACATGATTGGAGTAGTTGTTCAATTACTTATATGCGAGCTTATATCTTTATATTTGGACGGTATAAGAAGGCTTAACAATGATAACTGTAGTTATCTACTCATCTAGTTAAAAATAATGTGAGTTTACAAAAGCATAAGAGAAGATGACTGAATTATAGAATATCCTAGATAACATGATCACCTCATGAAAAGTAAGGTATGACTATGGCAATGCAAGGAAAGGGGGTCATTGAAGGTAATAAGTCCCGTTTGGAAGGGTTGCAAGTTTACAATATTTGGGTTTTATGCTTTTAAACATATGCTTTGCATAAGGTTGCCATGTTCTTGATTGTAAATTTCAGTCTTCAGTTATACAACCCGCGGATAACCAGCTAAGCTTAGCGGACTTTGAATCCATTAAAGTTATTGGAAAGGGAAATGGTGGGGTTGTGCGTCTCGTTCAACATAAGTGGACCGGTCAATTTTTCGCTCTTAAGGTACGTTCTTTTCTATAGCTTCAAAGTGGAGTTCTGCTTATAATCAACCTCATTTTCTTTGCACGCCTTATTGCCTGGGTTTAGATGGTGGTCTTTAAAGAAGCAAATTTGGTGTTTATAGAGTTAATACCCGATTTGGTCCCTTCACTCTACAGTTTACGTGACTCTAAAATGTGGACCATTAGTCCTCATACTGTCATGCATATTTGATTGTAAATATGCATGAGGACTAAATTAAGTCTATATGACATAGTTGAGGACTGAATGGAGTCTAAAAGCAAGTTGAGGAATATATCCAGTTGTAGTATATACTATATCGTTGAGGGATCAAATCAAGTATTAACTAGTATTTACGTGTGGAGACATTCTTCTTCTCTTCAGACTATATTTGACATCATAGGGAAAGACATTATCTTTTCCATCATTTGCAATGGAGCCAAAGACTCACTATTTTTTGGCTTGAGAATATGATGAAATAAAGCAAAATGGCTCACTAAACTGCCTACGCTTCTTTGTTATGAAGAAGTAGTCATTCCATGCAATTTATGACGCGAAGTTCACTACGGGTCATCCGGAAACAGTCTCCTTGTGCTTTAGAACAGGGGTAGGACTGCGTACATCCGACCCTCTCTTACCCCACCATAGGTGGGAGCCTTTGCGGCACTGGGGTAATGACGACGACGAAGTAGAAGAAGATAGGGAAAGATTATCACGTGGGCATGTGGCACACATTCATTGGCTGATGATCGGCTTATGATCACATGTCTAACTTTTCATTACCCATTGAATGTGTCACATGGTAATGTGGCCCTAGCGTACATCTGTAATGTCCCTCCTAGCATTTTTCTTCTTTTTATTCTTTCTTGACATCTTATGTGTGATAATTTTGATACGAATGTGTTCAGGTCATTCAAATGAATATAGATGAGACTATTCGTAGGCATATTGCAAAGGAACTGAGAATTAATCAGTCTTCACAATGCCCTTATATTGTCGTGTGTTACCAATCTTTTTTCGAGAATGGCGCCATCTCCATAATCCTTGAGTACATGGATGGTGGATCTCTTGCAGATTTTTTAAAACTAGTCAAAAATGTCCCTGAACCATATCTCGCTGCTATCTTCAAGCAGGTAGGCTGTAAATTTGGTACTTTATGGTTATCGTTGGAGGAAAAGCAAAATGTTTGTTTTTTATGTTTTGGTACCTTGGGAAATACAAAAGAAAACCAAATTTGAATATGTAAACTTTATACACATTTTAACTTCTTCATCTATATATAATAAAAAGGGCTTTTTCTAGTATATTACTAAAACATGATCATAGAAAATTTATGATTAAGTAGTTACCATAGGAACTGCACAAATCTTACCACAGCCGCTGGAATGTGAAATAGAACATCAATGTACTTTGTACTTACCACAACTACTCTGAGAATACCACTGTGGTTAATATGTATCAAAAGTCATATTTTTGTCAACTACTTTTATTTTAGGCATAATTTCTGATAGAAGTTTATAAATTAATTGAGTTTGGAGTTTGGACACAGATAAAATCTAGTTTTTTGAACTTGAACCTTTTTTAGTTTTATTTTCCTTCAATTTGTATTCTCTTCAAATTTCTGCTCTATGTTTCTCGCTATTTTCTTTACCCGATTTTTTCTGGCTCCAAAAAAACCCTAGACTGCACCAAATCTGGTTAATTACCATGCTCTATGTTAGTGTAACCTTTTTTGCTACATCGAGCAGGTACTCAAGGGATTGTGGTATCTACATAATGAAAAACATATAATTCACAGGGACTTGAAGCCTTCAAACTTGCTTATGAATCACAGAGGGGATGTTAAGATAACCGATTTTGGCGTTAGTGCAGTACTAGCGAGCACATCTGGAGCCGCTAATACCTTTGTCGGCACGTACAATTATATGTCTGTGAGTATAGCTGGTAGAGTGTGCATATGTAGACCCTTTTTTTGCAAGCATTGATCTTATTTGTGAATGAAATGCAAGCTGTGATTTGATAGAATCATAGAATATGTATTTGAGCTGGGATCACTCATTTGGCTCCGGTGATGTGCAAATAAAAAAAACTAAAAGATTGAATCTGTATGATTAGCTTGTCCTATACATGGCCTTGTATATTTATATTCATTGGAGTAGACTACTCTTGAAATCTGTGTACTCATCCCTCGGGCTTACCAATTTTTTTTTTGCGATGTTTTTTTTTTTGCGATGGGCTTACCAAAATTGAATGGCTCATTAGAGCTTAATTACCTCAGACAGTGGAGGACCTAGGGGGGCAAGTGCCCCCGCTTCCGACCCCGAAGTTTAAGATTAGTACTTAAAGATAAAAATTGTGCCCCCGCTACGCGGTAAAAAAAATAGAGATTATTTCATAAATATTACCTAAGTAGAACTAATGGACATAAATATTACTATAGTTACTATGCATAGTATAAATTATAAATAACCACGAAGTTGTGATGGAGCAAATCCTTAAAGTTAGACATTGATTACTACACTTTGTTTGAAAAGTGACATTGATGATTTTCTTACTTGGTGTAAATAATGGTTGTCCAAAGTTAAAAGTCAAAGATATGACAAGTGTTCTAATATGTAGGATGAGCTTAATAGATGCAAAACTTTTATCTTGAATAGAAGTCTATACATGAAAAAATGTGTCAATTCGCGATAAATTAGTTTCAAACCAACAAACTCTTTGAATTTTTTTATCTATAATATAATGAATGTTAGATATATAGAATCATATTATTAAATAAAGTTGTATTAAAGAATGAAATCATGAACATGATCTATACTTCATTTTTAACACGATAATATTATATTCCAGACAAGTACCAACAAATTTTGTGGCACAATGTGTAACATTCAACATGATTCTAGTTCAGATATGAAATCTTGATCATTTTATAGTATTAAAAGTAACGAGAATTCTAATGTAAAACGAGAAACGGTGCAAAGATGAATCATTTCTGATCCAAATTATATCTTTCTTTCAAAAGGCCATATATATTGTTTAGAATTGTCTTAATAAGTTCAAAATTAGACTTATAATCCACATATGTTCATTGCTTGAAGCCATCATTGAATAATCTATTTCCAGTTAAAAATAAAAAATTTGAACGCACTTGACAAAAAGACTAATGATACACCCGATTTGACCCGACCCGACCTATTTCCATCTATGCGGGAGTGCCCCCGCTTCAGAAAAGTTCTGGGTCCGTCACTGACCTCAGATATAATACAAAGACTTGAGATTATATCTTAAAACCTTAACCAAATAGGATGAGTAACATATCGCCTTACATGCTAATTTCTACTCTTATATTTGGCTGGTATGGTATTGTTTAAAACTTTCCACCAAGTTTCCTCTAATATTTTGATGTTGTAACCTGTTATGACACAGCCTGAGAGAATTGCTGGAAGCAGCCACGGGTATAGCAGTGACATATGGAGTCTGGGGTTGGTTTTGCTCGAGTGTGCAACAGGCGATTTCCCATATTGCCCACCCCAACCAGAGGAAGGATGGGCTAATGTTTATGAGCTTATGGAAACTATAGTTGATCAACCAGAGCCTCGTGCGCCTTCTGACCAGTTCTCACCAGAGTTCTGCTCATTCATCTCTTCATGGTATGTGCTAACTTTTTCATGGGAATAGATGATAGTTTCTCACATGCTTGGGGACTTTCCATCGGAGGAGGACAAGAAAATGAAAATTATTTTTATTTTCCTTTCTTAGTGTCATCACCTCTTGTGCTTGGGTTGAGGTAAAAAAATAGGATGCGAATGAAAGTAAATAGGATGCGAATGATTGATTTTGAGGGAAATAAATCTTATACATTTACTAAATTAACCTTGATAAGACACACAAAAGAACTCGAAAATTTTAAAAGTTGGATAAAAGGTACAACATCCATCCCTTTGAAAGGTTCCCATGGCAAAACGGCGCAATTATTTAGACAATAATTAAATAATGTAATTCGAGTGTATTTTGTGAAATAATTTTAATAGGTATATAATATAGTGGGGTTAGTGTTGATAACTGTGATGTTGTAAAAGTATTATTTTTAATGTTAATTGATTAATTTATCGTTTAAGATTGTTAATTGTTTCTTAAAATGGAAATGAGAATCTTTATATGAGACATCCGAAAAAGGTAAGTGAGAACCTTTCTATGGGACGGAGGGAGTAATAGTTTTACTGAACAATGCATTTTCCTTCCATTTTAGGGAGAAAGAGGAGGATGGGAAATAAGGTATAATTTCCTCTACATCCTCGTTTTCCCTTAAGCTGTAAATCGTGATCTGTTCATGGGTCTGCTTTTCTTTTTTACATCATGGGATCTCCTGTAGTCTAACCAACCATTGATCTTATAACTTTCAAATTTAGTTAATCTGAACATACACTTCTCTGTCACATTCATTTCTTTATGTAATTTTTTCAACAGCCTAAGAATTTCGATTGGGATAATAAAGCCAATCATATGAAAGTTTCATTTGATCTTAGGAACACATTTAGGATCACAGAATATTCCTGCCTTTATAGCAGTCTTAATAATAGATAGTTAGATACCTACCCTCAAAAAGAAAAGAGAAAAAAGAAGGAAAGAAAGAAATGCTCTGTTTCAAAGATCATCCCGAGGAAGAGTCAAATGTAATAAAAATGGAGCTAATATTTAATGTCATTTGCCAAAAAAAGTTGTAAAAAATGTAATATGATTAATTTAGTTCAATATAAAATTTTATAATTCATTCCCATCATTTGCAATGGAGCCAAAGATTCATTATTTTTTGGCTTGAGATTATGATGGAATAAAGAAAAATGGCTCACTATGGTCAGCCGTCAGTCCATGCAATTTTGAACGCGATTTTCACTATGGGTCATCCGGAAACAGTCTCTCTGTGCTTTAGTACAGGGGTAAGACTGCGTACATCCGACCCCCTCTTACCCCACCGTAGGTGGGAGCCTATGCGGCACTGGGGTAAATGAAAATGAAAATGAATAAATTTTATAATTATGAGTGAGTTTTTATGACTTTTAAGTCATACATGACACTTTTCTCGATTGAGTGTGGCACATCTTATTAACAAATGACTGTCTTGGTTTGGGTGATGATTGTTCATAATCTTATATAGTTGTGACTTGATGTAGTGTGCAGAAGGACCCTAAGAAAAGACTCTCTGCGAATGAATTAATGGTACTGAAACTACTTTGTCTTTGCTCCCAATGGCTGATTTTCGTGCATTGATTGTGTGACTAAGTGCATTGCCATTATATGCAGAGTCACCCTTTCATCCATATGTATGACAATCTGGGTATAGATCTTGCATCTTACTTCAAAGCTGTTGGACCTCGACTAGCTTCATTTGAGATATAATCGGTATGTTACATTTCTTCACTTATGATAGAATCGTTCTCCATGACATGTTTGTTTAAGTTTTGCAGTTTTCAGAAATTAATTTAATACTACATATGTATTTTTTTACTTCTCTTGCTTTTACTCCGTGTTTGGTTGAAGAACTTCAGATGGGAGGGAAGGGCACCGGTGAAATTTATTTTATCACTTTATCCTTACATTTACACGGTTGAAGAGAGAGAAAAATGAATACTTATAATATGTTTGTGTGCAGATTTGGGTTCAAATAAAAAAAAGACATTCTTATGGGAATTAATATGGTACCTTTGTGTTGAGAATTGAGATTTAAAAGTGCCAACAATACAAAAAATGATAGAAACGTAAAGATAGTTTTCTAATAGAAATAATGGCATAGAAATTACTAATAGAGTTTTCTTGGACAAAAACATTTGCTGCTGCTGCTGGATAATTCTTCTTTCATCTTCAATTCTAAAAACATACACCCTGACACCCTGTGAAAGCAGGCGAGTTTCTCCCAACAGTCACACAGATATATAACCATAATGGTCTTAGATGGTCAGGTGTAAATCTGAGTCGTAATCATCAGTAGATGATCATGATTAGTAGCGTAGATAACCCTAGAGTAATAATAAGCATAATTCATTTGATTAGATGATCATAATTCATAAAGTCGAAGTGTACTTGTAAGATCGCCAAGACAAGTATATACATTCATATAATAATTTGGCAAGCTTGACTTAGCGAAACAAGAATCAATCCTCCACTCCCCTCCAAAATCCTCAAACCAAACTGGACCTTATTATTCAGTGACCTTATTGCTAGTGCCTTTGTTTGTAATGATATTTTGCATATCCCACTAAGGTTTATGAAATGGCTCGGCTAGTGCATCCCTTCTATATTGGTGACCCTTTTCCCTATTTTTATAGCACAACTTGTACTTCATGTAATACTTTTTCAGTGAGACTTTGGTCTTTAAACCTTTTGGTTGAATATTCAGGCAGGCATACTTGTTTGAAGCGTGTGAAGTGTCTCTGCCATGGCCACATAACGTTTTTAGGCATCCAATTGCAACATATCAACACGAAGATATATGAGACACATTTTCAGTTTGCTGCATGAAAAACATTGAGTGACATATGAATTTTTAAAAAATAACCATGGATGTAGACACCCCTCAATCCGAATTTCACTTCTTCTCTTGTACCATTGTATGTTTGTTTGTTAGTATTAATCTATGTCCTTATTTCCTCCCAAATGGTAACCATCTGCTCTTTATGCAAGGGCAATTTGTTAAAAGAACATGTAGTCTTCCTCTTGCCTGGAACTGTTCTTTGGCAGCCTTCAAGAAATTACTTGTGAGAAACACCCAAGATTGCAATAACAAACACGTTAAAATAACTTAAAAAGTGCTGCAAATGGATTTGAAACATGATGCATAAAAGATATAGCTCTAAGTCTGCATATGTTGGACCCCCCTACAAGCCCCTCTAAGCTTTCACTAGTGTTCGTCAGTCTGATGTTCCGACCATCTCGTTTCCAGAAATTGAACATGCAAGTGCTATGAAAGACCAATTTAGTGAATAGTACTAATTTCATTGCAATTCAGAAGAAAAGGGGGTTGGTGATTCCTTGGGTTCCCTCAGTAAAAGATCTCGGAAGTTACTTTTCTATGAAATCTCTAGACGCCAAAATAGGGCGTATGGGTCCTTCGGCTTGGAGTGCAACCCTTCATTTTTTCCCGAAAGAAATGGTATGTAGAATGGTTAGAACTTAGAAGGTAGGAACTACTCCAACATTGAGATGGTCATATCAAAATCAAGTAAAGCATGCAACATATAAATGGCCAAGTTCGCAAAAATGATTTAATTACTTCATTATAAGTGCTTGCCGAAATATGGGATCAGGACCCTTTGCCACACGGCAGGGTACATTGCGCATCGGACGGCAGCAGAGCAACGAGGACAGCCTCGAGATTGGTGAAAGGGTGGATCCCAACATCTCAGACCCATGATTTTTCGATCAAAAAGCCGGGAAGAAGCAAGACACTCTACCTTGCTCTAAAACAAGGTAGAAGCTCCGGATCCCGAAATATGCAAATCAAAAGTACCAAATGAAACAAGATTGGTGGGTTAAGAAAAAGGATGACACCCCATCCCTGAGGGCCCCCAACCCCGACCGGACGGTACATTGGGAGGATGTAAATTGGACTATAATCTCAATCTGATAGATAGAGAGTGGGGCTCTGTCCCCGGTACTTGCAGAGGCCCTATGCATTTTTAGCATAGTAACCCCTCATCGCAGTTGCCGGGATTCGAACCCGGGACCTAACCCTTGTGGCACTCCCTTGCTACCGGTTGAGCTACGCCCACCGGTAAGATTGGTGGGTTTAGGAATTAGGAGGCAACTGACCGTATGCTCTTTGATTCTGTCCCAGGCTCCCAGCTAGATCAAACAAATTACATAAGTGAAAATTTATGATTGTGCAATCTGACAATTTTACGTGGATAATTCACATTCTCCCTTTTTCCCTTGATGGGGATGTAGTGCAAGAAAATCTTGCAAAGTGGGCTATGATTGATTTATAAAGGATGTACCCTATTAAGAACAAACGGAACAATGTCAAATTTAATCATAAAGATCAAATGATAAATAATGTTTAGTCTACACTATATACTTGCATGACCTCTTTAGCAACTTAATAATTTGTTTATCATGTGTCACAGCTTGTTAATTCATAAATATCACAATAAAGCAATTTAATCGCCTATCCATGAATTATCTTTCAAATTTCCATTTATATCTGTTTTAAAATAAACTTTCATTTCTTTGAAAAGAATTTGTAATTAACAACATTTTTATAAATTTTTACATGTTTCCCTCTCCTTTTCACATCTCCACCAGACAATTCCAACTTTCTTAATTCTCATACGAAAAATAATAGTCATAAGGAGTATAAAAAACTAAAAAAAATTCTCTCATGTTTTCAAACTTCTTTGATTGCTTATGAATTGAACTTGTTTGGCCAAAAAATGCCTTATTGTAACTATTACAACTTACAACTTTATAAGTAGCATAAAAATTCTACTAAATGAATCATTTCCCATAATTAGCAACTCAAAAATCAATATCTAAATTAAGATGGATAAAATTCAAAGAATTGTGAAGTTTAGGATGGAAGCAATATTGTGAGCAAAAAGAATCTATACAATTTGATGCAGAAGCTTGTGAGCAATTTGATCACGTGCGTGCATTGCGTTTGCCGATAGAATTGGAATCTCAGGGACAACCTCGTCATCGTAGAGATCGAACCTTAACTCCGGCCGCAATTCATCTTCCCCTCTCATCTCGCAGATGTTATGCAGAACGCAGCACGCCCCCAGAATCACCGGCAGGTCTTGCAGTTTCACCTCCGTCCTCCTCTGCAGACAGCTCCACCGCGCCTTCAGCCTCATAAACGCCTCCTTCGCCACCGCCTGCGCGCCGGAGATTTTCTCGTTGAATCCATGCTGCGCCCATGTCAGGTTCTGGTGAGTGAACGGAACTAGAGTCCAGTCCGTCAGTGGGTGCCCTGAATTTCCGGCGACCCAGAGATCCTTCAGCAGACCCTTCTTCGCTCGGTCGAAAATCGCCGATTTCTGGAGGATTTTGTCGTCGGTCATTGATCCTGGCCAGCCGATGCAGACGTCGGTGAAGATTCCGGTGGAATCGACAACGCCTTGGACTGTGACGGTGTACGATGTCTTGTGATTTCTCTCCGTGTGGCGCTTGTTGAAGTAGTCGGCGGCGGACAGTTTCGGCGAGACGATGGGGATGTGCGTGGTGTACAATGCTCCGGCGACGTTTGGGATTCCGGTGAGGTACTCGAACCGGCGTTTGATGTTGTCCATGCTCTGTTCTTCCGGCCATTGGAGGAATTTGGGCATGAGAACAGTCCTTATTGCGGCGGAGACTTCAAGAACGAGCTTGTGGCAGGTGGAGATGCCCAGCCCGAACCGCTTGGAGACCTCCCGGAGCGGTTCCCCGGTGGCGAGCCGCCAGATACAAACCGCGACCCGGTGGCGGACCGGAATCGCGAGACGGAGCGTCGTGTCCTTCTTCGTCACCGCCGGCTCCAGCTCATCACAGATGAAATCGAAAGTCGCTCTGCTCATCCGGAACGCACTCTTGAACTCTTCCTCCGGGAAGTCCGGACTGTTGCACCGCTCCCACCACGCGCTGGACCGCTGCTTCACCCACAACCTCCTCTGGCTCTGCGGCGGCGTTCCGCCGCCGCCGCCTTCCCCAGAAGTGCTGGCGGCCTCGGCGGACCCACTGCGGCCGCGCTTTCCATTTCCAGTCACCGTTTCCGCAATTAAACCCTGCCGGGACGATGAACTATCACTGGGAACCACGAAATCATCATATGGGTATGCCGGAATTCGCTCTGTCTTGGTCATTTCTTGATCGGAGAACAACAAACAGTCAGACATCTCCTCTATTAGATGATTTGGATCATGGGTTTTGACCTTCTTGGAGACGGGGTCGGGAAAGCTGTCTGGAAAGTCAAAATCTTGGAAGAAGCTGAGTGGATTAAAGGAGAAGAAGTCGTCGGAGACTGAGAGTGGGAAAGCAGAGATTTCCATCAATTAATGAGTCCAAACCTGGTCTGTGGATGTCTTTAATCAATCAGTGGAGCTTGAAAAGGTATGGAATTTTGATTAATGGAAGTGTTTGAATGTGAACACAGGAATCGGGCGGACATATATATACGGTGGGGTGTGAGGCCCGCCACGCGGTAAGGGTGGAAGCGCGTCAGAAGTCGACACGGTGTCGCGTGAGGGTCTGACTAAGATTACGCGGGCGGAGAGTCAAACGGTTTGCTGAACAGCGCGGGCCAGAGGGGAGAATACGGACAGCCACGTTTCCAATGTGATGTGAGGAAGACTACTAGAAATTTCGACCGATGATGATGATTGGAATACGGTGGGTCCGGCTTCATTCTTTGACGAAGGATTTGAAAGTTGTTCAAAGAGATTGGCAAAAGTATTCAAATGAACCATTTTGTTAGGATAGAGTTTGCTAAGTAGGATTAAATAAAACCAAAATTGTAATAATAAAAGCTTATGTTAACATTTCCAAAATAGGGGTCAGTAATTTATTTTATTTAACTGAGTTATCGAATGAATTTTAATCCGAAATTAGATGGACATAACTTACACTTCATAGAAGATATGTCCACAAAATTTCATTAGAAAATTCCACTATGCAGCACCTTGAATGGAGTCTTTCACAAGGTCGTTCGAGTTAGAAACTCTTAATATAAACAACCTTTATTGGATAATTGATACCCATATTGTATAAACTAGGAAAGATTTGAACAAGAAAGAAGAAGAAGAGAAGAAGTATTGTGTATGAACCAATATTGGTTGTGGTTCAATAGCCTCCTATAAGGAGTATATATAGGGAAAATTCGGGTCTGAGTCTCTAATATGGGCCTGACAGACCCGGTTACATAAATGGACTGATAGTACAAAAAACTAATCTAGAACATCTGAATAATAATAATAATAATAATAATAATAATAATAATAATAATAATAATAATAATAATAATTGATAGAGTATATCTAGAGAGAAGTGAGAGCTAGAGAGAGAAGTGCAATAATATGCTTCAATAGAATGAATTTGTAACCCCCATAACTACTCCCAAGGGGAGTATTTATAGAGAAAATACGGGCTGGGCTCCCAAGCCTTGGGCTGGGCTCCCAAGCCTTGGGCTGGGCTCCCAAACCTTGGGCTTGGCAGGCCCATTTACAACTGGACCGCTACTGGACCGAATACAAAGCCACTAATGGGCTGTACAAATGAGTAAGTGTAGAATCCGGTTCTGTGAGGTCTTCGTGGCCGACGAGGGCGCGGCCGACGAGGGCACCCGGGTTTCTTGGGCTCAGGACCATAATCTGGGTTGGCACCTTTTCGGCCGACGGGGGTCCCTTGGCCGACGAGGGCGCCACCCTGTGCTTTCTGTTCTCCTGAGTATGTGGGTCCGGGGGCTCAGACCCATATACTCCATCAGGAGTCCCCCACTCTCTAAGCTGAGACGCAGACGAAGTGAAGGAGAGTAGATTCCCGTGCTTCGGTGCTTTTGGCCGATGCGGGCATTCCCAGGCCGTTAGCTGTTGCGGCGTTGGCGTTGTTTCCATTTTGGCGTTCTTGTTCTGTGCTTGGCCGTCACCTGTTCCTCGCTGTGGACGGGAAGGCCGTTGTTTCCTTGGTGCGGTCGTTTGGGGACGATGAGTGTCCTGCTCGATGGTGGCCGTTGAAGGCGCGTTTTCCCTTTCTTGGACGCTGGTGGTTGAGATTTACATTTGGGCCGATGAGGCTATTGAGGTTGAACCTGCTTCGAGGACGACAGTGTCCTTTCCTTTGGGTGGCCGGTAAGGGTGCTTGCGCACTCCTTTTGGCCGTAGCTTACTGGCTTTCGTGTTCCTGGCCGAAGAGCCCATCATGATTAACTGTTGGCGGAGGACGATGAGTGTCCTTGCCTTAGGTGGCCAGTTGGCCGTTGCTGATGACGTTGTATGCCTTTGGCCGACGAGGCGCCGTTGTGATACATGGACGTTGCGGCCATGCTTTGTGGTTACATTCGTGTTTGTGTTTTTCCTTTTGTTTTGTTGAGGCCGATGTAGTCCCCCAGTCCCCCACTGCTTCAGGCCGAAGAGAGTGAGGGGTGAAGGAGTTGCTTGAGTCCCTGGCCGAAGCGGCCTCTCCGTAGTGCCCCTGAATCCAACCCTCATGGCGATTTTCTGGCCAAGGTAACCCTGTGGGAGAACCCTTGTGCGCAGATCGCTTGTAAAGAGTTATCATCAAGGGTCGTTACGAGGAGCCGATGGTTGTGGGTTCTTTGTTCCTTTGGTTCTGTGGCCGTTGCGGGCGTTCATTACGTTCCTGGCCGTTGTCATCTCCCTATTGTTGGCATTTGTGAACTTGGCAAGCAAATAGGTCGTTGTGGGCGCTAGCTGGCATTTGTGAAGCCGGCAAGCGTATAGGCCGTAGAGTCTGTGTTGCCAGTGGGCTCTTGATATGTAGGCTGGGCTTGGCCCATTGGTGACGTGGTGGCCTCCCATTGGTGGCCGTTGATGTGGCCATTGGGATGGTGCCACGTGTAGTGACCGTTGGGTGGGGGGTTCTATAAATACCCCTCCCCCTCCGACGAGAAGCCTTATTTGCATTCTGAGTTGTCGAAGTGCTGGCCAAATTTCTAGAGAGATAAACTCCCAAGCTCGTTCTTCGTGTTCTTCGTGTTCAAGGTTAGTGTTCATCGCAATCTTCTGTACTTTGCATACTTTGCTTCCTAGGCTAGTGATCTAGTGTTAGGCGCTTGAACACCCTTAGATCCTAAGTTATTCCCCTTAGGCTCGTAGTAGTTGTTATGATGAAGAGCTTGAACGAAGACTACTATCCGTACGACGACCAGCCCTCCACTAGGTCACTCGACTATGAGGTGCTTGAGGAGTTCGAGGAGGAGATACAACACTTGAGGCCTTACAAGTCCGGAGAGCCGGTGGACGACGAAGTTGAGGACAAGGAGTCCGCCTCGTCTTCAAAAGGTGAGGACGCAGGTGCGTCCCGAGTGGTGGACGGGGCGTCCACTTCCGCTGTTATTCCATGCCCGAGACCGGTGTCTGCCGTGAAGGGAGCAGATAAGCCGAAGAGAATAAGGAGGCTGAAGAGTGGGTCGGGCGTCTCCTACCTGGATCTCACAAACATCTTCCTGATCAAGTCGGAGAGCAACGCGGCCGACTACTTGGTTGCCTAGATGTACGTGGGGCCGTTCGGGCGGGTTAGGGCACCCAGGTCGACGGACCATGTTCTTCATCCGCCACCGGGATACTTTGGAGTATACCTGATGAGTTTCGCCAAGGGACTGAGGTTTCCCCTTCACCCCTTCATCACCGAATACCTTGACATGGTGGGGCTCCCTCCGGCCTTGCTGACGCCGAACAGCTACTCTTTGATGGTGGGGTTTTTGCTCCGCTGTGAGGAGCTGGGCTACAGGCCGACGACGGCTCTGTTCATGAATCTGTATCAGATAGGCCGAGGAAGCCACAAAAATTGTGCGGCCTATGCTACTCTCCAACAGCTGCTGAAGAAGAGGAGCTTCACGGACTTGCCTTCGTCCATTCATGGGTGGAAGAGCAAGTTCGTTTTTGTATCCCTTGGTGAGAATGGCACCGAGTTTCCCTCTCTCGGCCATACCGGGAGGTTCAATCTGCACGACCCGCCGAAGAGTTCTATCTTGGACGCTCAGGTGGAGGCGTTCTTGGAAGGGGGGCCGAGGAGCGTGAAGGATTATATCACCGAATACAAGATGACCGCCCTCGGCTTCTTAAGATATCATGTATATGGCGACAAGGAGGACGATATCCAACTTTGGCCGAGGATGACCACTACCTTCGAAGAGGCCGACGGCCCGGATTTGGGCATTCCTGCTGAGGCCGATGGTAATTATTTCTTCGGCTTTCTTCCTTTGTAATTTGTTCTTTTGCCTTGCTAATCTGTTCATTTTCCTTTGTGTGGATTTTGTCATGGATCGCCGTTCCATCATGGCTATAGCCAAGGCCAAGGCGGCCGAGGAGTTGGCTGCAAAGGCGGCCGAGGCGGCCAGACGTGCCGCGGCTGAGGGGGGCGGGGCTACTGCTGATGCGGCCCCGAAGCCTGCCCAGTCCAAGAAGAAGAGGCCTCCTACTGACGGCCAGAAGAAATTGACTGAGGCCGGCCTGAACGTCACCAAGAAGACGAAGAGGGCACCGTCTCCTTCCCATGCTACTGAGGCCGGCACTCTGACCGTCCCAAGTGTGGACGATAGTGGTCCCGTTGTGGATCTCACTGCTGCTCCAAGCGATGCTGCCCAATCGCTCCCTCTCGTCCAGGAGCCACGGACGAAGAGGGTCGGCAAGGAGATTGCCGCTGCCACCTACCAGAAGATGGTGGAATACCCCGTCGGCGGGGCTGTTTTTGATGATGTCGTCCTCGGCCACGATGTGCTGGCCCAGGCCATGCCGGCCAAAGATAGGGCCTACCTGAAGAGGCTCGGGGACGTCAAGGTGTACGAGGGCGGGATGGACCTCCTCGTCCAAGTAAGTTCCCTTCCTTTTGTTTGTCGTTTTTCTCGTCGTCCGGGTGGAGTCATTTGCCTGAGTTTTGTTTGCCTTTTTTATGCAGGGTGCCTTTATGCTCATGGAGAGCCACAAGAGGCAGTACCGGGAGATAGCTCGTCTAAAAGAGCTTGAGCAGAAAGCTGCCTTGGCCGATGAGGCGGTCGCTTGCTTGGATCGGCTCCGGGAGGATGCCAAGGCCTTGCAACAAAGGGCCGACGAGGCCGCTGCAGCCAGGGACGATGCCCTGGCCAAACTCGAGGAGAGCCAAAGGGCGCTTGAGGCCGAGCGGCGCAAAAACGATGAAGCCGTGAAGGCAAAAGCTGAGGCCGAGGCTGCCGCTGTGAAGGCCGCTGATGAGGCCGTTAAGCAGTTCCTGGCCGAGGGGTGGAAGGCCGATGAGCGGCTCTCCTGGTGCTATGAGGTGGTGGCCGCTAAGCTTGAAAATTGGGGGATGAACTCCCCCGCCGGCCAGGAGTATTTTAGCAGGGAGATGGTCGTGTACTATAACATGGGCCAGGAGCGGATGCAGAGGCTCCTGTGTCGGCGGCTATCTCGTGCTCTTAAGGCCATGAATAATACTTCCGGGTGGGCTAGACGGAACTTGAAGCTTCCCAAGCTGATGAAAGATCCCGAAGAGCAGGCCAGGCTTCCTTTGTCAGAGTGGGAGTCCCCCATCGAGAGTTCCGGCCTCGGCGAGCCGGATTACACGGAGTTTGACTTCCTGGACGATGCTACCAGTTCTGCGGCTGCCGCCGGCCAAGAAACTGAAGCCGAGGAGGGAGCCGAAGATGTCGAAGAGCCAGCCGAGGATGGAGGCGCCCAAGAGGATTGATCGGCTACTCCCCGCTCCCTTGTAATTAATTTTTATTTTTGCCCACTTGATGTAATGGCCGAAGCGCCCACCATTGTACTGAATTGCTTATGAATGAAAATTTTGTTGTCCTGCTCGGCTTTGAATTTCTTGTATGTTTATTGCCCTTTGCCATTTCAATTCTGAAAGTTGTCTAAGTGTAAAAGTTACAACTTGGGTCACCCGCGAGTGTCTACTACGTCCGTGAGGTAGTCCATCCTGTCCGGTGGCCTGGTCGGCCTGGCCGTCGTTTCTTTACTATCATAACACTTAGGATTTATTCAAAAATTTCCTAAGTGTTTTGGGTCCACTTAGGTGCTTTCCTTTCCGTCCCTGACCGTGGTGTCCGCTCCGTCCTGACGTTGTCCCATTCTTCTATTTTGTTAGAATTTTTCTAAGTGTACAACTTCAAGTGAATGGATGTTCTCATCGGCCTGGAATTGGATCTCTCCTCATTATTGATAAATGCTTTGGGAGATTTCCTAAGTGTTGAACCAATGTCGTTGTCGGCCCAGTGTTTTTCGTGGCCGTCGTGTTCCCTTGTTTCTGAGCTGATCATGAAGGTCGGCCTGGATCCTTGTGTTGTGGCCGATAAGGGCACCTTGAACTTAGAATTTTTTCTAAGTACACATGCAAGGCGTAGGTAGCTAACGGCCTTGGAGTACACAGGTACCCGCTTCGTCTAGGGTTCCTCCATTTAAGTACTTAGAGATTTTTCTAAGAATAAATGTAAGACATAGTTCCTTCTTTGCGGTACCGCTGCCGGCTAAGAGATGGCCCTACCCTCCTCGACCAAGGTATGGCCTGTGGCCGATGAGGGTGCCCCTTGTTTTCCCAAAGAGATGGTCCTACCTTCATCGGCTAAGACATAGTTCCTTCTTGAGGAACCTTTTTCCTCAGAATTTTCTCTAAGTGTTTTTTTTGTAACACTTGGGCAAATCCCCAAAGAACTTTCGCTTGACCGATAGCCTGGGGTTCAGTGCCTGTATCGGCCATCCGGGATGCTGTGACCAGTAGGGATTGTTTCTTGATTGCTTGATTCTTCCGTGTGATAAGTGCCCACTTCGTCCTGGTCATCCTTAGGATTGTTATTCTTTATTACATTCCAAGCGTTGGTGCTTCAAAGGGCTGTGGCCGATGAAGGTTACCTCTCGCGTGTCACCCAACCGATTCAGTTAGGGTTTTATAGGCGTATGCTTCGGCTTTGACCGTTCCCTTGTGGTGTGGACGCATCGTCCATGTCACCTGTTAGTGGTACTACACATGTATTCAACTGATATGTACTTGGCCTAGTTGGGCCTGAATTGTGGGGATTTTATTTTTTCATTGCTCGAGGCCGGCTAGTGCGCACGTCCGTCGGCTTCCCTCTTTTTCCTTTTTTTTTTGTTTCCGTCCCCTTTTCCGGGGAGTATCCTTCTTTCAGGCTTCGGCCGAAGGGTGTGCTCGTCCTTCGGCCGGTTCGGACTTCGTTTATAACGTCCGTGATCTCAGGGCAGATCCCGTCGCCTATTTATGACGCGGGCTAGACTTTTGGTCGGTTTCCAACGGCTGTCGTTGCCCATCCCTGAGTTTTGGGATTTTGTCACCTCGGCCATGATTTCAGGCCTGTCGTCCTGCGATCTGGCGCGTGGACGACGCGGTGAGCTTCCCGTTTCAAGACGTGGGCCGTTTGCGGGCCCCTCGTCCTGGGGACATCGTCGGCCATACCCGAGCGTTTCACTTCTAGGCTTACGGGGCCAGGACGATGTGCTCTCTCAGCTAGGCCTGAGCCCTTCGCTGATACAAAATACAATGGAACGCCTGATCTTGTCGATCGTAGGCTGCAAATGCAAGGGGCCCCGTCGGCCATGCCTGAGCCTTTTGCTCTAAGGTGGCCGATGAGGGCACCTGCTAATGTTTTTACTTTAAATTCCAGAGAAAATCAAGAGGAACATGATTTTATTCATAAGTGGCTCGAGGCCGAGGGTGGCGTTCAATCAGTAACCCGTTAAGGGGTGAGGGCTTCGCCGTCTGCACCTCCTTCGGATTACTGATAAAACTTCACCAGATGGTGTACATTCCACGTTCGTGGTCCATTGGACCCATTCGGGCGTTTAAGCTTGTATGTGCCGGATTTGACCACGGCACTGACGATGTAGGGCCCTTCGTACTTCAATGCTAGCTTGCCACCCTCTGTCGGCTGGCTTGCTTCCCTTCGGCGGAGGACGTAGTCCCCCACCTGAAATTCCCGGGAACGTACCTTGGTGTCATAGTATGATTTTACTTGACGCCGGTAGTTCTCTGCTCGGACGTAAGCTTGCTCACGCCTCTCATCGACCAGGTGTAGGTCAATCTTCATGTTTTCTTCGTTGGCGTCAGGCTCGTATTGTTCCACCCGTCGGATGGGGATGGCAACTTCTGTGGGCGCCTTTGCCTCAAAGTCGTAGCATAGGGCGAAAGGCGTTTCACCTGTCGCACTCCTCGGCGTGGTTTTGTAGCACCACAGGATGTTGGGGAGCTCGTCGACCCAACTACCTCCTGCGGCCTGGAGTTTCTTCTTCAGCCCCTCCATGATTGTCCTGTTGGCGTTCTCGACCTGCCCGTTGCCCTGAGGGTAGGCGACGGAGGAGAAACGATGCTTCACCCCAAACTCCCGGAGGAGCTCCTGGAAAGGGGCTGCCTCGAATTGGGTGCCGTTGTCTGATATAATCTCCTGGGGGACGCCGAAGCGTGTGATGATGTTCTTGTAAACAAATTTTTGGCATCTGGCCCCCGTGATGCTGGCCAGGGGTTCCGCCTCGACCCACTTGGTGAAGTAGTCGACGGCGACGATGATGTAGCGGTTATTCTCGGCGGCTCTGGGTAGGGGGCCGACCAGGTCAATCCCCCATCTAGAGAATGGAATTACGGTGCTGACGGGGGCGTAGTTGACGGCTGGCCGACCAGGGGCCTTCTGGAGCACCTGGCACGTGGTACACTTCCTGGCCAGGTCCGCACAGTCTCGCGCCATCGTCGGCCAGAAGAAGCCCTGGACGACGAGACGTCGGGACATGCTGAAGGGGCCCTGGTGCGATGAGCAGACGCCACAATGAACTTCTTCCATGGCCGGGTCGGCCTCCTCCTGGTGCAGGCATCGGAGGAGAGTGCCATTATAGGATCGTTTGTAGAGTTTGCCATCCTCAATGGTGTAACTTGGGGCCCTAAGTTTGGCAAGTTTTGCCCTCTCCTCGTCTGGGGGCAGCTCCCCCGTCGTGATGAAGGTGACGATGTCGGAGATCCAGTCCTCTGGTCGCTGTTGGACGCACAAGACGGGGCTGGCATGGATGCTGGACATGCTCAACTCCTCGATCTTGGCCAACTGGGAGATGTGCTCCGGGGTGTCCGAGCTGAGTTTGGAGAGGATGTCGGCCTCGGCGTTCTCGGCCCTTGGGATCTGAGTGATCTCGTGGGTTTCAAACGCTTTCAGTAGCTCCTCTGCTGCCTGTTTGTACTGTCGCATCCGTCCCTCCTTTACTTCGTACAATCCCTCCACCTGGCCCACTACCAGTTTGGAGTCGCACTTGATTTTGAGGTGCTTGGCCTTGAGGCCGGCGGCGAGTCTGAGACCGCTGAGGAGGGCCTCATACTCGGCTTCGTTGTTGGATACCCTGAAGTTGAAGCGGATGGCATAGTAAGCTCTGAATCCTTCAGGGGATACGAGGACGACGCCGCCACCGCATGATTTCGCGGCCGACGAGCCGTCAGTGAATAGGATCCATGTATCGTCCGAATCCGGCCCGGGGTTGGCGACGGACGTCTCCCTTGCTGTGCATTCCATGACGAAGTCGGCCAAGGCTTGCCCTTTGATAGATGGCCTTGGCTTGATTTCAATTTGAAATTGGCTGAGGAAGATTGCCCATTTCACCATCCTAGAGGATCTGGTGGGGCTCCTCATGAGTGCGCCGAGAGGCTGCTGGGTCAGTACATGGACGGCATGGGCCTGGAAGTAGTGTCCCAGCTTCTTCACCGTATGGACGATGGCCAGCACCGTCTTCTCAATGGGGGAGTACCTGAGCTCGGCCTCCCTGGGTGTCTTGCTGATGTAGAAGATGGCCTTTTGCACCCCTTCGTCCTCACGGATGAGCACGGAGCTGATGGCCGACGTGCTCACCCCTAAGTACAAGAAGAGGATTTCGCCGGCTTTGGGCTTGGAGAGCACGGGCGGGGACGATAGGTACCTCTTCAACTCTTCGAACGCTTCATGGCACTCCGTCGTCCACTTGAAGCTGTTGGCTTTACGCATGATCTGGAAGAATGGGAGTGATCTTTCGGCTGACTTGGAGAGGAAACGGCTTAGGGCCGCCAGGCGACCTGTTAGTCGTTGCACCTCCTTCACATTGCGTGGTGGCTCCATGTTGACGATGGCCTGTATCTTCTCTGGGTTAATCTCGATGCCTCTCCGGCTGACCATGTAGCCGAGAAACTTGCCACCCTGGATGCCGAAGGCGCACTTCTTGGGGTTGAGGCGGAGCCTGAACTCCTTCATGATTTCAAATTTTTCCCGGAGGTCGTCAGCGTGGGAGGAGGCCTGCCTGCTCTTGACGATCATGTCGTCGACGTATGCCTCCATCGTCCGGCCAAGGACCGCTCTGAAGATCTTGGCCACCATCCTAGTATAGGTGGCGCCAGAGTTTTTTAGTTCGAAGGCCATGACGAGGTAGCAAAAGATTCCCTCTGGGGTCATGAATGTCGTCTTCTCAGCGTCATCTGCATGCATGGAGATTTGGTGGTACCCTCTGAAAGCGTCAAGGAACGACATCAATTCGCACCCTGCCGTCTCGTCCACCAGCTGATCAATGTTGGGGAGAGGGAACGGGTCCATGGGGCACGCCTTGTTCAGGTCAGTGTAATCAACACACATCCTGAATGTTGGCGGTTTCTGGGCGAGGACGACGTTGGCCAACCACGTCGGGTACTTCACCTCTTTAATGTGTT